CTGGATTAGCCCAGTTAACACCGGGCAAAGGGCTGCTGTCTCATCGTGGCCCTTAGCAAGAGGGAATTAAGACCATTACAAGGCTATCAAATAGGATCAGAGCCCCTCTCCCTTTCTCTGAGCAGCCCAGACCTGCTAATCCTGTTTCATGCAGCTGGACCAGCACCCACCACGTGGCAGAGCTGGGCTGAGAGGGACGAGGGGCCCTGGCCCCTGTCCCCACCCCCACAGCCAGCGGGGCTGAGCGGTGTCACCAGCCCCGGGGTGACCCCAGTGCTCAGGGAAGGGACAGGGACAGGCACTGAGCTGGGCTGGGGTGAGCCAAGGTCTCCTCCTCGAGCGTGGTGCCAAAAAGCAGCTGCACCCACGTGTGGGACCCCCTGCCCTGCTCGGGGGGGGACTTTGGGGACACAAAAGTGCAAACCAAGCAGCAGCTTTTGGGTCACTGATTTATTCCTAACCCGGCCAAGGCCGAGGCTGCTGGGCCTGAGGGCTCACAGGGAGCACAGGGATGATGCCAAGGAGCTCTGACCCAGCTGGCCGTGGCAGAGACCCTACAAAAACACCCTCAGCTGGCGGAGGCAAACGCGAGGCAGAGCACACCCCGAAGTCCCTGCTGGAGGTCCCCACCACCTCCTCTGCCCAGCAGGTACCAACCTGGGCTGGCAGGAGCTGCTGCTGCCCTGGAGGAGGGCACAGCAGTGGAGTGTCCCCACGCTGGGTCAGGAGGGGGCAGAGGGGCTGCAGGGGGTGGGAGCAGGCACGGTGGTGACGGGTGACAGGGGTGGGCAGTGCCCACCCTGACCCGGGCACGAAACCCGTCCTGCCCTGAGCTGGCAGCAGAAACGTCCCCCCACGTGTCCACGGGTGCCACCAGCACGTGCAAAGGGGGGAGGAACCGGCCAAGGCAGGAGCAGCAGCCGGGCACGGGCACGTCCCAGCTCCCCCCAGTCAGGACCCCGCCAGGTACTGGTGGAAGTAGAGGCCAAAGAGGCTGGTGACGACCTGGCAGGCGGCCACCCACCAGGTGAGGAAGGAGAAGAGCCCCCGGAGCAAGGGGGGGGTGAAGATGCAGTCCAGGATGCCCGTGATCTGCTGCACCACCACCTGCACGTCCTCGCCCTCCTCGCCCGCCGGGCCCGGCACCGCCACCGCTGGGGACACCGGGGGGGGCTCCGGGTACAGCCCCCAGGAGAGGTGCCCTGTGGGACAGAGGGGACAGGGCTGGGGGGGCGGTCCCTGAGCTGCAGCCTCGTCCCCACAGAGCCCCAGCACCCTCCCTGGGGGTCTGTGCCAACCGCAAACCAGGGAGAGTCACGGAATAGAATCCCAGAACGCCCCGAGCTGCACCCCCAAGGATCATCAACCCAACTCCTGGCCCTGC